TTTGGATTGCTGGGATTATAAGTTGATGAATGACTCTTAAAGTTTCTGTCAAGTTTTTGGTGGAGCATGCAAGAATGTCAATATAGTAACCCAACTGTCCTCCAAGCTCTACTCTGATGCAAATTCCATTAATGCTGATTGAAATGAGGTACTTCTCAAGACTGTATGTTGCTCCATGATGATTCTGTAGTTCCATTATTCTATTGTGAAGGTGCACCTATGGCGCCAAATGTGAACATTCAATTAGGAAATGATATACACGAAAAATTCGAAAAAGTCCTCGATATATTAGCCATAAAGACTTAGAGGGAAGATAAAAAATAAACTACTTGTAAAAAATGGGTTGCTACATGGCCCAAGGGGATGAAATTGTTGAAGGTAAGTGCTATATCGTGTGTACTAGACATATGTAGGAGATAGCATATAACTAGGAATATTGTGCATGACATGCTTTAATAATTAACCAAAGCCGGTTAATCCGAATAGTGATCCTTTTCAAAACACTTCATTCTTTATGTATTTGTTTTTGCATTCTGTGAACCTTATTTCAGTTAGGTTATCCATAATCAGAAAAAATAGGCAACACGGGATAAACTGAGATACAAGTGCAAAAAACAATTTCAGAAAGAAAAGTTGCAAGAACAAATGCAATGGTGAAACTGAAGGGAGAAAGGGGAGTACAACATAGGAACTCATGCCTGTAAACGAGGGAAGAATCCTGGAGTTAGAAACATGTGGCTTGAATCGTCACACTCAAGATGACGCCCCACATAAAGGCAGTCTGGTGTGGTTTGCAGCCATCTTTGAGGCTTTCCTCTTCCTTCTTCAAGAATGGAAGGAATAAACAACAGAGAATTTGGATCTGATGGATCTTGCTCATAACATAGTTCAAGTTTTAGCATCATCCTCACAAGGTCACTAGGATCCAAGTTCTCAAACACCTTTGAACCAATACCAGGAATTGGACTTTGTAAACTTCCTCTTAAGATTTTCTCCAGTTCCTTCCTGCTGATAAATCCATTGTTTTCTGACGAATGTGGCCTTCGAACATTTAATTTTATGAGCTGGCCAAGTGCTTCACCACAGAACCACTCACAATCTAAAATTAGAAAACCCAACTCATCAAAATAAATCACCTCACCAATGTGATGAAGACAAGTAACAATAGCTCTTCTCCTCGCTTCCACTTTCTCTTTATTACCATGCCTTGATTGAATTCTCAGAGGTGGAACCTTAACTTGGCATAGCTCACCAAATTCCTTCCACTTCATTGCAGGCTTGTTGTAATTCTCGGATCTCCAGTCCGATAAAATCTGTATTAGATCATTGCAAAGTTGATAAACGCGCGGTACTCTTTGGAGAATTGTCTTGCATGTCTTTCGGATGTGATGAGTGAGTTTACTAACTGATGCAGATGATCTTGCATCAACTGTGAACACGGTTGGGTAGAAAACAACAAATCCTTGGAACTTGTCTCTCAATCTCTGAATTGAGTCTACGGTATGCTGCAAATTTTGTGATGGTTGGTTGATTTTATCAAAGTGTGTGAGAACAACAGCAACACTTGGTACCACACATTGTTGTATTGCTCTTTTGGAGTTGGAAACAATGAACCTGAGCCAATATTGCAAGTCCTCTTCAATCTCAGTTGTGGATCTCAGTTCTCGGTTACTCGATTTCCTGAATAAACTTGATACGATGACGAAAAATGACGCACTCCCATGTCCTGGGAACATAAGATCATGGAGGGAAAAAAACTCATGCTGACCAGCAAGATTCCATATTGAAATATTTATATCATCATCCTTGAAGGTTTTTATCTTCATTCCTACTGTTTTAATTGCCTGCTCCACTGGATTTACTATTGTTCTGACTTGATCGAAATAGGGAACCACCGAGGCAGAGAAGTTTTGTGATATTGAATGACAAAGTGTGGTTTTGCCTGAAAATATGAATTTAAACTATGATTCAAGTAGATTTGATGTGACCCTTATAATTTTGGCTTTACTCTAGTTCTTGGCTTATACTTTTCTTCTCTTACTTGAAGATTACAACTACTACAATATTTATATGCATACAGGATACCTTTTGATGACTACCCTTACAATGAAGTATGAACTTAACCCAAATGTAAATGTTTCTACTCACTAAGTACATGCATGTCTAAATGCTTAGAACCTTCAATTACATCAATGTGCTAATATATAAATAAAGCAGTACACAAATACCAATTCTTTAAATGCATGTGTCAACTTAAAACATCAAAAACAAATAGTTACATTCAACATTACCTGCACATTCTTGCCCACAAAAGAAAACTCTGCAACTCTTAGGCTGTGTTAGTGGCATGTCCTTAAGCAAATCAACTTCAGGTTCAGTTTTCTCATTCTGTCCCAATCTTAGATAAATCCCTTGAGTCTTTCCAGAGTTATGCAAAGGTGTTCTTGAGAGATCAATATCTTCAATCCAAGGATTTATCTGTAGTGTCTCCATAATTGTCTGCAGTAATGTCTCTCCCTGCACACCTTTGCAACCTTGCAGAGTTAAACACTTCAAAGTAGCATTCTTCTCCAAACTCTTGAAGATTTTAACAAAGTCATCTGATCTCAAACTCTCATCATCATGTATCCCCAATTGCCTCACACTCTCATTGGTTGTTAGCATCTGAATAAGAGCAACTAGACCATCCCTTCCTATTCTTGTTTTCCCACCTCCAAAAGTGACACACTTCAAAGTTGTATTAGCTTGCATTTGTAGGGATGAAAATCTACTCAGAGGGGTAAGTAGGTGCTCCACACCTATCCCACTGAACCGATTTCCGGTTAGATGTAAGGTTTGTAGACTACGATTCTTAAAGAGTCCTGCTGCAACATACACAACACCCTTGTCTTTAAGGCATGTCCTGGACAAGTTAACTTCTTCGAGGGTCTGGTTTTGTTCTAAAACCCATCTAAGTTCCTTAGCACACCTGGATTTAATCTTGACTCCAGTCATGTCAAGCGACTTGACCGTTAAATTCATTCCTAGAGAGCAAGCTACCCTGCAAGTACCTGAAAGGTTAAGCTTGTAAATTCTAAGTGTGCTATTCTCAGGTACAAACTCTACAACCTTGGAACTATTTTCTCCATTTTCTCCACTCCAAACATGAAGTTCCATACTCCTGTTCCTTGCCAAAATTGCTGATATAAGAGGAGCAGCTGCAACCGCATTCGAGTCGTAAATTGTCAATAATTTAAGAGTTGGGTTAACTTCAATCATCTTTGAAAGCTCCTCAGCACCCCTTGAACCAATTGAATCTTCCCATATCTGAAGCTCCTCTAAACTATGATTCATCATAAGAGCAGAAGCAATGAGTCCAGCTCCAACAGACCCAATACCTGATTCTGAGATCGTAATCTCTTTGACCCCTTTATTTTTCCTCAGAATGTCAGAAAGCTCTGTTACACTTTTTCCATTGAATCTATTCCTTCTGAAAACAACTTGCTTTACATTTTGGTTATTCCCTAGAAATATGCCAAGGTTTCTTACCTGTTCTGGTTCCCATTCAACTTGGTGGAACTCCAAGTTTCTCAAGGTGGATTTTGTTGCTGCTAGTGTTGTCAAGAAGTTGGAGAAGTATGAAAGGTTCTCTTTTGAAATATTAATCTTTATGGAGTTTTCTGTTTCTTGGTGACAACATGAACTTGGTTGGGAGAGGTAAAAGGAAACACTGTGCAGATTTTGGCTCTGGGATTTGATTGCTTGTAGTGCCCATTGTAGATCTTTCATGTTCTGGTTTGATTCCTTCACTTCAGAAGCTTTTCCAAAGTTCAAGATGCTTGTTTTGGATTTTACAAGAACATCACAACAAAACTATTATTTGGAACTCAAGTGGTGTTTTTTTGAAGACATTGTCCATACATTTGACAATGTTGTCCTTGACAAGGACATTATGAGCTTGAGGCACCTTTGCTATATTCTTAACTTGTCTTCAAAGGAGCCACTTTGAGCAAAAATAACGTTCTCACTAGCATTGATTCTTATCCTATGCACAATGGTGTATCACTAGCATTGATCATAACTCTTCTCATAAAATGTGAATAGATTGAAATTTTTCTAAAATTATTTATTTATTTATTTAATTTAAAAAAATTAAATCTAAATCCTTAAACTTTTTTAGATGTCACGTGTTAAAATCTAGGCCATTATTGCTCTCCGGAAAGGAGCACGGCTCAGAAATCATCTATGTCAAAATAATTTTGTCTCTCTATTTCCAACCAACCAATCAAATAGGGTGTAATACTATTAAGTATGAATATGACTTCTCTCTATTAATGGAGAGACAAATGAGTTTTTTATGTGTAGTCTATGGGTAAAGATGTAATCTTCTTTTAAATAAAAAGGGCAAAAATGACATTACATCTTCAATTTTCTTTGATTTTTTTTGGGCATTTGCCTCTCCATTAAATTAATGGAGAGGAGTCTTACTCATTAAGTATTAACTCTAATATTGTTAACTTTAAACATTAACTTAATTTTTATTTCATACATGTTTATCAAAATTTTATTAGTGGTATTGAGTTAGATATATGGAAATCGGAGGGGTTTGAACTTGGTACTTCTAACCTAAGAAGTAATTTTGCTACCGCGAGGCTAAGAATTCAATTCATCATATTATTGAATCGTTGTTGTATATAACTCATTATATAGCCATTATTAAAATACATACAAAATGAAAAGTTGCATCTGGTGGAAATTGAACCAGAACGCTGCGTTTCAGTCAAATTGTGAATGGTTATTATACATAATCTTTCGGCTAAACTAAACTGATGCAAAAAGATATTTCATTTCAGCATGAATGTCTCTATAAATATAGGCTGAATGAGACAGAACGAAAACGAAAAATCAAAGTATATAAATTATCATTCATTTCTCTAATGTAGACCTGTCAAAATGGGCCGGGTATAGCGGGCCGGCCTGCCAAGGCCCGAAAAGGTATAGGGCTTGGGTACTAAAGTTTGAGTATTTTAGTTAAACCGGGCTTTTTAGCCCGGCCCGGCCGGGCCACAATAAATTCGGGCTCGGGCCGGGCTTACCCGTTCGGGTTCGGGCCATTGTCTACTCATTTTCTTCCCTCTCATTTGGCTTTTCTTACCTGTGCATTTTACATGATGTAATCGATTACGATATACTCGTAATCGATTACAACATATGAAAAGCATTAGTTTTTGCTGTTTTTTAAACAGTGTAATCGATTACACAATCCTGGTAATCGATTACATGCTGATAAACTAATCAGACCTGTGCATTTTACATGATGTAATCGATTACAATATACTCGTAATCGATTACAACACATTAAAAGCATCAGTTTTGCTGTTTTTTAAACAGTGTAATCGATTACACAATCCTGGTAATCGATTACACTGTTTAAAAAACAGCAAAAAATAATGCTTTTAATATGTTGTAATCGATTACAATATACTCGTAATCGATTACAACATATTAAAAGCATCAGTTTTTTGCATTGGTGTAAATAATAAAATAATCCGGGCCGGCCCGCCGCAGCCCGCAGCCCGCTTTGGGCCTCATTTTTAGCAACATAAAATATAACCGGGCTTTTTAGCCCGGCCCGTTTTAACTCGAATCAAAAGCGGGCTAGCCCGAACCCGTCCGGGTAGCCCGTTTTGACAGGTATACTCTAATGCATGAGAGAAGTGTAAGAACCATAAACCTGTAAACTACTATTGAAAGATATGGTTGTTATGCTTATGCAAAACACATCAAGATTTTCCAAAGTATCCTGAAGGGGATTCACTGTTCATCTCATTTGCATCCAATATACTTAAATTGGTGGGGGCGAATCAAACCTAAAAATTAGTGTGGTAACATACACTTTGGAGGTTTTACGTGCATATCCATCAACTATTTCTTTGTCCAAGTGGTGTAGTTTACTCCCCAAAGACAAGATTTCCAACACAAAATTTACCTCAAATATGCTAAAGGTGCATGGGAGACAATTAATGGTGGTGGGGATATGTGCTTTTTGACCTTTTGTGCTGCTAGAAAGTTTTTCCGTTTCTTCTTTTCCCATTCGAATAAACATAAGAATCCTATAAAGCTATTGACTTATTGAGTACCAATACCTCCACATTTTTCACCTATCCCGATATACACTTAAATATTTCATGTATTCGTATTCATATATAATATCAAAATTTATTTTTTCTGAAAATAACTAAATTATAAAGAATATAATATCTATGTACTGAGAGTTTAAAGATTTATACATATTTAATATATTATTTATCATTCATTTATATTACTTTTATTTAAGAGTTAATAATAATTGAAAATGAATAATACAATAATAATATAAAAAATTGTTACAGTATCGATGCATGCATTTTTTTCTCAATTAGAAAACTTATATTTTTAAGATGTTGTTAAAATGTTTTTACTAGACCTTCTGCCTACCCAAACTATCATGGAAGAGCATTTTAAGAGGAATAAAAGGAGAGAAAATCATAGCATAAAGTAAATTAAGTAAATACAAAATATGTATTGCGTACATAAATAAGAAGAAATGTATTTGTATAATGTTGATTATGAATAAAACAATATCAATGTTATTCCCACTTGGGAAAACTAGCAATAATTTCTTACGATAATATGATTATTTTGTATTTAGTAATTTTTAAGAAATATATCTATTATTAAAAATTTCACAACAATTATATCTATTATGTTTTATAAATTTTACATGTATATTTTATTTTCATATCCTATAAGTATAAAATTCTATATTTTCTCCATATATCAGATATCTAATACTGGTATTGATATTGATTTTTATGGGAAGGGATAAGGAACCAAGAGAAGGATTCAAATTAACCTTTTTTCAAGGCTCCTAATAATGGTGAAGAAATCATGTGTTTATTTTATCTAAGCTTGCTTTTGAATCACCAGGCCGTTGCATTTCTCTCTCTTTGTCTAGTTAGTTTAGTGTATATTTATTATTTAGTTACGTGTAAATTTTAAGAAATTATTTTTTAGAAAGCTCCTTAGCACAATATAAGCTTTCTGAGCAGTTTTTTTAATTATAATTTAGAAGTCATTTTAAATATAAAATAAGTTATTTCACAAGGAAAGTTGAAAAACAGATAGCACAGAGAAAGTCACAAATAAACTATCTTGGTCATGTGTCATGATGTTATTAAGCAATGTACCTACTACCTAATGCATGTGGACCTTCTACTCCCTAGGTTATTTTTATATATTATTTATACATAGATGTTTAATGTTTTCTTATAGGGATTAAGAAATAATTAAGCAATAAGAAATTTGGCATGTTTTCACTCAAATAACTCATAATATTATAATTAATCAGATTAGTTATTTCTTATCATAAATTAGATATTGAATTTTCATAAGTTTTTATTGACCTATACTAAAATATTAAAACAAGTAAAACCAATTTTATTAACATTCTATCAGTCGTCAATCAATGATACACTAATTAAACTGCATACGGATAAATTTAAAGCATTTATTAAAATAAAATATGTGAGTTTGTGGTAGACTATGTTCTCGACCTATAAGCAGATAGTGGTTGTGTGTTCGATCATCCACAACAAATTTTTGGTAAAAAAGTCGATTGGTATAGCTTGTACAATTTAAAAAAAATCAATTGAATGATCAGTTTTAGTCAGATTTAATATAATTATTGTAGCATATTAATATGTGGTTCGAGTCAGCAATTTTCTGTTAGATTCGTCAGGTATAGTTCGATTTTCATAACAATGTGTAAAAGTATGTATTGCTATATGAGGAAAGAAATTTTTTAGTGAAAAAAAGGATGTGATGAATAATGGTTAATTATAGAAAAAAGAATAATGAACTTTTAAATTTTTAGAATATTAAAAAAAACAGTGTAATATTTGTGAACCCACAATGTAAATATTTATACATAGTGAGTGTATCATTCATCATTTATTTGTATTACTTTTATTTAATTGAAAATGAATAATAGATTATACAGTAACAGTGTAATAAAACTCTTACATTGTCAGTACATACATTTTTTCAATATATAAAAATGTGGTAGTATAAATCAAGATAAACTAGTACATAAAAATGCGTTAGTTATTAATGATGAAAATGAGTCGAATCGAGTTGAACTAGAGTTCAACACAATTTACCTCAATAATGATGTGCTCAATTTGAAACTCTATCTGATTTCAAAACAAGCTATGATTCCTACTCGAATTCGGCACAATTGAAGTTCATGAATTGTTCGATTCAACTCATTAACTTGAATTGATTTGGTTCATCGAGAGTTTGTGAACTATTTAGTTCAACTCATTAGCTTAATTCATTCAGTTCGCTAGTTCAAATGATGATTATTTATTTAATATACATTCATATTAGGGGTGTTCATTGTCCATATGGATCGATTTTTAAGTAAAAAATCGTCTGATCCAAATACATAATTAACATGTGGTTCGGTCTGGTCTATTTAAATTAAGATGTCCGATCTAATCCGGTCCAAATATTATATGCGGTTTCGGTTCGGTTTGGATCAGTTTTTTATTAAAAAAAATTCATGAAAAAATAAGATATTGCATAGGGGTCAAGATACAAAATTAAATTGAAAGGAGAAAGTAAGAACGAAACTTTATGGAGGACCATAGTTACCTAACTTAAAATCATCCACAAAGAGGCCTAAACATATACTAACATCAAAATAGTACAATGATCCAATCAATTGAAACAATTTCATGTGAAGTGATGTTTTTTCTATCAACCATTATCATGCAAAATGGAGGTATTTTATGGGAAGTAATGAGAAATATATGTAAATATCGTGTATCTCAAAAAATGACAAAATAATAAGCATAAACAACGAAACAATACTTAAAATGGTTACACTTAAACAATTTCGGTCGGTCTAGATCAGTCTAGATCTAAGAGGTAAAATCAAAAATCGGACCAGACCGATCGGTCTTTAAAAAATAAATCCAATACGATCCAAACACATTTGGTTTTTGCGGTTTCGGTCTATTTTGGGTCGGTTTTTGGTTTTCTTTTTGGAGCGGTTTGGATTTGAGCACCCCTAATACATATATATAAGGAGCTACTCACGTGAGAACAATGCACTATTGTGAGAAATGAGAACAATTAATATGAACAATTGGATCTTATATGAATGGTGAAGATTAAAAGATACACGCACATGACTATCATGTGACTAATAATTAACTTTTAATCCTAATCATCCATGATTAGTTGTAAGGCCCGAATTTAAAACATTGACTATAACCACGATTTAAAACACTCGCAGCGGTTACAATGATTGCATAACAATAACTACAACCACAATTTAAAACAATGGCAAGAGATTCATACAGAATGTGGTTACTCATGATTGCATCACACCCTATGCGTAGGAAGACTACAATACACCAACTCTTGTGTGACAAGTTGCACCAAAATCTATGATCCAATATAGATTAGGAAAAGCACATGTTTAGTAGTGAAAAAGCAGAAAGAATTAAAAGACTTAAACATCTTGTAGTTGATCATCAATGGGTAATAGGAGAATTCTTAGTCATGGGCTAATGACAATGACTTCATTCACTGTAGCTAATTTGTTAAAAGACTTAGCCTTAGGTCTGTTAAATGTAATTCATAGCTTTAGAGATTATGGGCTTTGTAATTGGGTTGGTTTTGTTGGGTTAATTGTGTTTTGTAACACCACGAATTTCCTGATTTGGAATTATAAATGTTTATGAGTTTTTATTATTTATTTATTTTATCAACGATTAATTGTAGAAATTAATCAGTGTGGATTTAGGCTAAGCCATAGTTGAATATTAGTCTTGTTTTGTGATTTCCTATTTTATGGTAAATTTTCGTAATTTTCTGTGACGAAATATTTTTGAATTGTCGTCGGGCCCAAATAGCCCGAATTCGGCCCAATAACGTGTTTTTGAGTTCCGTAACTCGGAATCGAATTCCGATTGCACCATTGGCTTCGAAATATTATTTTGAGTCAAGATAGACATCAAGTTCATTCAGAACGCATTTCTAAATATTTTCACTCCAAATTCTGTGTTTCGAAGTTCTAACCGTAAACCAAAATCGGGAGATTGTATATTTTCGGACGAAATTATCCGAAGATGTTCGGACACGACATTTATTGGGAAATTACATCATATCAATAAAGTTGGAAGTCATCATTGCATGAGCCACTTACTTGTTACACAAGTAATGCAAAAGCTTCCAAAAACCCCTAAAACACTCAACAAATCCTCTCACTCCACCACCATTAGACACATCACCTATGCTAG